TATGTAAGTATACAAATGAGTATGCATATAAATGTGTACATAAATATCAACATGTAATAGAGATTATGTTGATATTTATGTACACATTTATATTTATATGCATACTCATTTGTATACTTACATATATACACATAAGCACATGTAATAGAAATTAAAGGAGCTCTGGTAGCGTAGTGGTTATGAATCAGGCTGTGAACCGCAAGGTCAGCAGTTCGAAACCACCAGCTGTTCCGTAGGAGAAAGATGAGGTTTTCTGCTCCTGTAAAGATTTATAGCCTCGGAAACCCTGTACAGGTTCTCTATGAGTTGGAACCGACTCCACTGCACATAACCACCAATCACCACCATAGAAATTAGGTAGGAAAATACTTCTATTATTCAGATGATATAACTAAACAAAAAATCCAACATGTATCTATAAAATTATTAGAATCTTTAAGAGGTTTAGCAAGTTTGTTAGATTTAAAATAAACATTCAAAAATTGTTTCTTTATAAAGCAACAAATAATCTGAATATGTAAAAATAATATATTCTTTTCTAAGGAAATGGAAATATTCTATTTCATATGGGTTCATGGGTTACAAGGATGTATCTGTTTGTGTCAAAATGTTATAGCTAAGATCTATAGATTTAACACAATCTTATTAAAAATGTCCATCGATTTTCTTTGCATAAATGAAAAATCCAATCTTCACATTTATATGGAATTGCAAGGAATCCCATATAGCCAAAGTAATCTTGAAAAAGAAGAACAAAGCAGGAAGACTCACACTTCGCAATTTCAATACAAACAAAAGCAACGGTACTGAAAAATAACTTTGGTAATAGTGTAATAATGGGAACAGAGACCAGTGGAATAGATTTGAGAGTCTAGAAACAATGCATTTGTCTCTGGCCAAATGACGATCGTCAACAAAGATGTGAAGTGCATCCAATGTGGAAAGAAGTCTTTTCATAAGTGGTACTGGGAAAACTGAATTTTCATATGCAAAATAATGAAATTGGACTCATACTTCATACATCTATAAAAATTAACTCAAAATGGATAACAGAACTAAAACGATAAAACTCATAGAATAAAACACAATTAGTACT